TCATAGTGAAATTGAATCCATACTACAAAATCAAACATGAGAATTAGTAAACCTTTCTCCCGATAATAAGCCATTGGGATGTAAATAGATTTTCAAAAGGAAATTAAAGTAGATGGATTAATTGACAAATATAAGGCTAGATTTGTCGCGAAAGGCTACAAGCAAAAAGAAGATCTTGATTATTTCGATATTTATCCTCCCGTGACAAGAATCACTTTTATACGTATGCTTATTGCGATAGCAACGTTGAATGATTTAGATATATATGAAATGGATGTTAAAACGACTTTTTTGAATGGTGAATTAGATGAAGAAGTTTATATAGAACAACCTGAAGAATTTGTGGCCTTAGGACAAGAAAAGAAAGTATGTCGACTTGTTAAATTACTTTATGAATTAAAGTAGGCTCCTAAGAAATGATATGAAAAATTTGGCACGATTATGATGTCAAATGATTTCAAAATTAACGATTGTAACAAATGTGTTTATATCAAGAACACTCAAAATAGTTACATCATGATATGTTTATACGTAGTGACATGTTGATTATGGGTAAAAATGATATCATAATTCAAACTACAAAAAGGATGCTAAAATAAATTTGAAATGAAAGATTTATGTATGGTTGATGTTATATTAGAATTAAAAATTCTAGAACATCCGATGGTCTCATATTGTTTCAATCACATTACATTAAGAAGATTCTTGATAAATTAAATAAATATGATATTATCCCTATGAAAACATCTATGGATGTTAGTATGCATCTTGTTTCCAATACTGGTGATAATAAGTCTCAATTAGAATATTCTCGTATTATTGGCAGTTTAATGTATGTCATGAACAGCACACGACCTGATATTGCTTATCCCATTAGTAGCTAAGTCGATATACGAGCAATCCAAGCACTAATCATTGGAAAGCAATTGTTAAAGTTTTAGGGTATTTAAAATATACCAAAAACTTTGGATTGCACTATTCAAGATATCCAGTAGTACTTGAAGAATACTATGTTGCAAATTGGATATTAGATACAAAAGACTTCAAGTTAACAAGTGGATATGTTTTTACACTTGGAGATGCTGCAGTATCATGGAAATCTTAAAAACAACACGTATAGCTAGATCAACGATGGAATCCGAATTCATTGTGTTAGACAAAGCTGGAGAAGAACTCGAATGGCTACGGAACTTTCTAGAAGATATTCCATGTTAGATAAAACATGTGCCTACTATATGTATCGATTGTGATAGTCAATCAGCAATTGGTAGGGTACAAAATGCGATGTACAACGATAAATCTCGACATATACGTTATAGACACAATACCGTTAGACAATTGATCTCTACTGGCATTATCTTTATAGATTATGTGAAATCAAAAGAGAATATTGCAGATTCGCTAACTAAAAGTTTAACAAGAGAGCAAGTCGAAAGTTCATCGAAGGGGATGTGATTAAAATCGATAAAATAATCAAAAGTTTCCATGGTAGCAACCCAACCTAGTTGACTGGAGATCCCAAGATCTAGGTTTAATGGGACAATTGAACTGTGAAAACTTAGTACGCACTGTGGAGATTTTTACTCCTACCCATTCCTATGATGAGTCAGTGCCTAACTGCCACGAAATATGTTAAGTTACGCTATAATGGTTTCTATATCTTGATTCGTTCAAGTAGAGTATAGCAGAATACTCTTTATAGAAACTACCTATGTGGGTGAGAAGGGACCGCTTCTAAGAGAATTAAGTGAAGATGAATTCTTTAAAAACACTCATAAACCAGGAGGCGTCCAAGGTCAAAATGGACACAAACGTGAGAACCAACTATGTTCGAAGAAAATTGTGTGACTTCTATTGTCTAGATTTACATGCACGGACGACTGTTCAAAGCAATTTGCTACTGATTGACTAAGTAAATCCGATATATTTTATTAGGGAAAGTTCAAAGTCTTTGGCTACTTATCTTGATGCAGTTTTATTCAATTTTACTTCGATAAACATATTGGATATTGTTGTTTGGAAAAAGGTCGATGTATTTCATTCAGGTGGGGGATTGTTAGAAAATGGTTAGTGAAATGTGTCAACTTTTAGCCCAAATTTCAGCGAGACCCACACTTTAATTGATTCGGGACCTAGCGTATTCACGTTTTACTTCGCGAGATGATTAACGTGATATATTTATTTGTTAAAAAATATTTAGAATTGAGTGTTAAAGCAACCCACTTGAAACTATAAATCATGGAAGAATTTGATTTGCTAAACATTTATCCCACATAGAAAAGTTAGGAAACTTTGGTATGGTTTATATGATGGAAGTTTGGGAATTGGGTTTGGACCCCAAGGGGTACCAATAGTTTTTGGAAGGGAGAAGACATATACATATACCCTATCGGGTTCAATCATAAACCCACACGCGTGCGTCGTCGTCACCTGATCGGTCAGCTCGACTTGGCACGGCATAGCACGAGCACATGCCCGTGCCCAAGTCCGAGACCGGTTTGGTTCGTGTTTGGATGTGGGTGGGTCCTTACACTATATTAAAATTTTGGACAAAATTTATTTGAATTTTTGGGCCAAATTGTAAATAATCAAATTCTTAGGTACTTAATGAAATTAATTTTGGCTTATTTCTGGGTAATTTTTGTTGGTCTGGATGATCTGTTAAACAATCGTCTATTAATCGACCAAACAATTGACTGTTAACCGACTAAACATACACAATATCGAACGAACATATCTATTTGAGTTTTGAAGGCTGCCTAAATAGTGATGATTGTTTTGGAGGATGTTCAAATGACTACGAACAAGTCTATAACTAGTTTGCCCCACTGCCAGAAAAATTACACCATTTTCATTGTAAATATTCTCTGCATTGAATCTCATCCTCCCTCTCTCTTGTTCTAATGTCATTTTCGAAGTTAAAACACTTCGTTGCGTTCCTTGGAATTCCTGCAGATTGCTGTGCTACTTCCGTAAAAGAGGAAAGTCGTTTTGTCCTTGAAAACGATTGCTAGACGCCTTAGCACCACTGAAGGCAGTAATTTCATTTTAAAGAAATATCGTGAAATGGGTGGGTTCGAATTAATCTTTCTGATCCTATTGATCGTATTGTTACGCTGTTCAAAATCACGTAAGGTAACTTTGTCGGATTGTTTAGACGGAAAAACTTATTCTCCAGGAACAATAATATATAGTTATAAATAAAGTTTGACCAACTTTTTAGTAAGAAATAGCTTTATCAAACAAGTTCTAAGTGAATCTTTGCTTATGATAAGATATTTTAACTCATGTGCAGTATATATACTTAGGGGGTGTTTGAGCCACATTTTTTTGGTAATAATGCATTCTTAAATAATGTATTGATGAGAAATGTGTGGTTAAAAAATAAGGAAATTTTTTTGATCTGTGTGTAACATTATTTTATTAAAGAATATGTGGTTGAAATAATGTCAAATTACTATTTAAGAATGTATTTTTTTGGTATAATGTGGTTTAAACACCCCCTTAATGAAAATTTGCTTAATATAAGACATTTTAAGCTCGACATAAACATTTCTTAGTATGGGTTAAGTGAACTGAAGAATACTTCGACAAGATCACAATGCATAACAATATTTTAAAATGATGTAGGATAATGTACCAAAAAAAAGGACTAGACAATCTCGACGGTTCTTATACAGAGAGGTAATATTGTCTCTATTTATTATGATCTTCTAGTTATGCTAGTAGTGTAGCCTCTCCCAGGTCCCAATAGCACTAAATTTTTGGCAACAAAAATAAAAAATAAAAAAAATAGTTATAACTTGATTTTGAAGTTGAAAATTAAAATGTAGGTGTGAGTGTAATTTCCCCATAATAAAATAATTAGTTAGCCAAACCAACCAGGCTAGCCACAATATTGGGCTATGCCTGGACCATATTTTTCGATGGGCTAGATCAGCTCTATGTGCAGACACGCTTAGGCTTGATCCAGGACAGTCCCCAACCAAGTAACAAAACGATTTAACATAGTTACAGTTTGGTTTAATTATTTTCTTAGAAACAACTTTTCCGAGGGTAAACATATTTTTCAAAAATTTTCGAGGGTACAATTGAGGTCTCAACGAACTTGGATTTACATGGGCTGAATGAAACTACTAATCATCAAACAGGAAGCCCAACAAAGTTGGAGAAATTACATGTAAAGACTAACAAATTTTGAGCTCATAGGAATGCTGTACCAACAGACAATCAAAATCTTAGGTGACATGTTAGACACCAGGACATATTAAACAAACAGATCACATGTCTAAGAATTCATCCAGACCTAGAGAGGGTCAAGAACGCAATATAATACGTGTATAGAGGAACTCGTTCCATATGTCGGGCAAACCTGGTAAGCACCAATGGATGCAATCTGCGAATGTTGCTGGATCAGCTTGCTGTTCGGGGGTCAGCATCTTGCCTTGGCGAATGGTGTGAACTGAGGTGTGTGCATCTTTCCGATACTCGGAAAGGGTGGTTATGTTGAGGAAATAGACAGGCACTTTCATTGATTTGGTAATATTTACTGCAACTCTAAATAGCCTGCGGTCTGTGCCCACATTCAGTGGCATCGAGGTGTTGAGAATTGGGGTTGTTTCTAAAGCACATTTTATGCCATGTGGATTTTCCCAGTCCAAGCTTCTACATCAGGTGTACAAGAAAATGAAATCCAAATTATAATAAATACTTGTTAAATTAAGTTCTAAAGCAGTAAAACTTATAAAAATATGGAATTCAAGAGATCGAACTATGGGTTTTTTACCTAATAAAACTTATATACATGCAAGTAAAGGAAAGAATATCTATAGAATGTAAAATATCAAAAGTTAACTTCTAAGCAAAGAAAAAGGCAAGGGACTTTAGGCCTTACTTGATGTGAAGAGGAGACATGCTCATGAAGAAAACTTGAGTTCTATTAGGATTTATGTTCTTATCTACCCACTTAGACCAGGTCCTCAAAACTCTCTCATAGGCCACAGGCCTTTCAATTTCATCATACTCTGTCGACCCTTCATCGAATGACCCTCGCCTGTTTGGTTCGTCCCCATGATCAAAGATGGAAAATCATCAGTTTATCTTTATGTACATATTGATCATGACTAAAAACATGGGATTCTATATACTTACAGAACTTTCATTGAGAAAGTGTTCATCCACCATATATATGTATTGAAAATGAGATAGTCAACATTTTTCCAATTCTTGCCATGCTTTTTGATTGATTCAGGCATAATGATCCGGTTCAAAATGCTGTGCATATTGGGATCATCTGAATTTGACTCTACCAAAAATGGAGCCCAGTAAAACTCTACTGTAGCATTATAATCCTGCAAGAAAGTGAAAAATTAATCTTAGAAATTGCTAATCCAATTAGGTGAAAGGTGGTTGATACTTGTACACACTATTTCAACTACTCTCTATTCATTCCAAAAAGTGGGACAAACTTTACCTCGTGTAACAATTATGATTCAATTTGTAAAGGTCCCTTATTGTGACAAATCATGAATTAAATGCAATAATTCCCAAGAAAAATTAACAATTATCGAATCAATCAAGTTGTTGTTGGAAGAATTTTGTGAATAGTGACGCCGAAATAAGTATAATGATGGTGACAAAGTCGAGGCAAGAATTGGACTCTTTGTCCTTAAGTCGAATTTGCCCCGCAACGGTGCCTACGGATTTCGGCAATCGACTCCCAAAATACAACGGCTACACTTGTGTTTGTAGCACTCCAAAACACAAGTACAACGAACCAAATGTAGGCTTATGTACTCCACAGATGAAATGAAAGAAAATCAAAATAAATGAAATGATTTTGATTTTGGATAGAAGAGAGGATGAGAGACGTTTTTGCATATCAAACTGTGAGGAATAGGACACCCAAAGGGTCCTATTTATAGACCATGAAGGGGTGTGGACGAAATGGTTGAGGCCAAACCATGCACCCTTTCCAAACAATGCACCTTTATGAAAATGTGTCTATTCACTAATGGTTGAGACCTTTTTTCGTAATTTCTCATTCATCCAATATTGGTTTTCGAAATGTCAAATATACCCTTCAATACATGCAGAGAAATCAAAATTCTCTTTCGGGGGCGTTGCCCTCGACCCCCCACGAGGGGCGCTGCCCCCTCGACCCTCGCGACCTGACCGGACAGGTCGATCCCCGTTTGTGCGCCCCGAAGCGGCGAAGTGACAAACAATTTTGCCTAAACGGATTGAGTCGAGCTTTTGAGTATTTGGCCGAATTCGATACAAACTTTAATCGATTTTCAATTCTCAATTTATTTAACCAATATCCAACAGTTGTCAATGTACACATTGATTAACAATTATGGAAAATATGTTCCCAACGATCATAGCAAATACCTCGACTCGGAAAACAGATAAAGAGCCAGACTTGTTCAAGCTCTTTCGTTCTGGAGGGACAACGGATTGGACGAAACAAATCATTGATTCCCATTGGTTCCGATTCAAGGAGTCCCCAACAAACATGAGCCTCTTGTTCCTCAGTTTTTCAAGCAACAATCTTGGCCTAAATCTTGGTCACAAAAGCCATGATCATAATTAATACCAGATTATAAACTTAAATCAATCAAAAAAACTTCTAGGTAGAAGATTTAATGCTTACTTGGGCAGAGAACAATCTCTGGGCTGCCACCTCCAATTCTGATACAAAGAATCCTTCCTTCCATTCCTCATACAAGTCACCTGGGCTGTAAGAAATTCACATTCATCTTCTTTATACAATGGGTGTGTGACATTATCAAAAACCCATTGCCCCGTAAACAAATCACAATCTTCAGGAGGCAATTCAATTTCCTCCTCCTCTTCCTCCTCTTCATCGACGGTGTCGTCGTCATCAACTGGCAATTTAATTTTCTGTTCTTCTTCTTCTTTTCCTTTTTCATCTTTCCAGCTCAAAGATTCTTGTTTCTGATCATGATCAGAATCGGAAGTTTCTATCTCCGTCTCCACTACAGTTCTTGCATTTAGAACAACTGAAACAGTGGTCCGATCACCAACATTCTTGGAGGGCTCTTCTTGAATTTCTTGGCCGGCTACCTTAGGCCTAGAAAAAGGGAACTCAGCAATGGATTTCACGTCGTCGTTGTACATGAAACAACCGAACAAGAAAATCGAAACAGCCAAGACGAAAATAGAGAGATTACTACCCTTGAGGCCTCCGGTGGCGGGCTTCATGGAGAATGATACGGTGGAGAAAACTGGTGTGAATTTTCGGCGGTGCGAAGGCTGCTGCATGACAATACAGAAGAATGGTGAGAGGGAAATTTACGAGACGAGAAATAAGAGTAGAATGAGAATATAAGAGAGGGATACAAACTTTTTTTTTTTTTTTTTTAGATATCTTTAATGGAAAATTTTGGTGAAATGGGATTTTCTTGAAGATGCTGAAACTGATTTGGTTATTGATGGCCGGAGGATTGTCATTCTCAGTTGCTTACTACTAGTCCTTTTCTAACTACTACAGCGACTACTTTCTTCATACTCTGGCACGGACGAGAGTAAAATCTTTCTTTAAGCAATTGTCTTTTTCAACGGTTAGTGGGTAAATTTAATTTTCGGGGTGTCTGATTTTAAAGAATTTTAGAATATTACGAATACTACCGAATTTCGTGAATTTGAATAGATTGTCACAAGATTCATAAAAATCTCATTAAAAATTGTAAAATTTCAAATGAGTTTGTTAAATGTATTTTTAAGCTTGAAATTCATCCAAATATTTTGAAATCTCTTTATTAAAGAAATTCTTATAAATCCACGAGTTAGTTAGGATATCTAAATTTTAAAAATTTCATTGCAATTCATTAAAATCTTAGTTGAGAACACTTAAAATTTAATGAATTTTAATAAAATCCATTAATATCTTAATTGGGAACACCTGAATTTAAAAATATTTTTAAAATCCATTAAAATCTCAATTAAGGATATCCCTAAAAATCTCAACTTGGTCGTCTAACTTTAACTTATCTTGATTAGGTCATTGAACTTTAATTTACTTTCAAAAGTAGTCACTCATTAATCCCATATACTAAACTTCATGTCATAATACAGTGATCCCACGTGAATGTTAAAAATTAAAAGCAATGTCATGTCTTGCGTTACGAGTAACGAAGCCCTTTTTTTTATGCCCATTATAAAGAGAAATTGGGGGAAAATGATGTTTTGAATAATGAGTTTTTTTTTTTTTGGTAAAATGTGTTGTTGAAAAGTAGAAAATTTTGGATATACGTGCAACATATTTTATTGTGTGAATGTGTGATTAAAAATGAATATAAAAAATAAAAAGTTTTAATTTAAAGAGAGTCGAACACGGGCTAAATCATGTTTAAAAGTCAATATTACTTGATTTGATGAGCGTACTTGGAGCTCATTTCATTCATTATATCAAGATTTTGCAACAAGGATATTATCAGGTATCATTTTACCTCAAATGCAAGTGTGATATCAATGGTTCCACACCCCTAAGGCAAAAACGCCAAAGAAAATGTTCTAGTCAAGTAGAGAGCTTTTGTTCTCTTTCATTGACTGACTTTGGGATTTCCTCCCTTCACTAACTTTCGTGCAACAAGTTATAGAGGTAAATCAGTCAAACGTGCTCTGTTCACAGACTAAAACTTCTCGTAGTGTCAGAGCTAATCGAATTGAAATACCTTATATAGTTAAGATCGTGTTGGTTGAATTCATGAAAAGAGAACAAATTGAAACCAACTGAAGATGAGACGTTAAATTTAGTAAGAGTTAATACAACATTACAATTGTATTAAGAGTCATGTTTGGAATATTGATTGGATTGTAACAAGTTGAATTAGTTCATACACGAAAGCTTTAGACAATTCTTAACGAGATGGAGATATTTGTTATATTTGGCTTTCGTGTCGTTGGGGAACTTTTTCTGTTGACCATTCCTTGAGATTTTGATCACACGGTGTTTTTAAATACTGCTTGCATCTTAATAAATTCATATAGATTCTATTTAAAAATTCATTGAACCCTACTTGACAGAAATACAATGCTGCCGATTTTAAATAAATTTTGCATATAACGTTACTTATAGGAATCCCGCAAAACTAATCATTTTTTCGCTTAATGAATATTCGATACCTAATTCTTTTAAAATAATCAGATTCTAAAATAAAGTAAATAATATATTTCAAAATAAAAATTTCAAGAAAAGATATTCAAGAATTAAAGTATAAAAAATATCAATTACAGGTAAGGACGTGAGATCTATGTTCTTAACGTTCGAAAACAAGTTTCGTGGAAAATAACATTGATAGACCCAGTTGGTCAATACCCACCTAATCAAATTATATATTTTTATCCTTTGGCTTTTCTTATATTTAAACAAGTTGGTTATTGCGTGGGGTACCCTGAAATATAGAAAACTATATAGTTAGTGGTAACAAACCCACCTTTTTTATGATCAAGTAGTTAGTATAACTGGCTAAATAATAATTAAATAAACAAAGATTGGTTGTTAATTGACATGATTGCACAACGATATTTGGATCACAAATTTTATTTTTAATATATTTAAAGTCGACTACGTCATCAAATAATCACACAAATCATATACTTCTTAATCTTTTAGCATTTTATTTTTAAATTACATCTCTCTTATAATATTTACAAGATGAATCATTGTAAAGGGATATGATATGAGGAGCCACATGATGGATTCCTATTAAGACTTAGGGTCCATTTTAACAAGGTCCGCCATCTTTATAAATTGATATTTATTTCGATATTAAACCGATGTGGGATAACACATCCCTTAATAAACCCCCTCAAGATGGTGGCTCATTTGAGCAGACCAATCTTGAAATCCATGAGATGGCTCTAATATCATGTTAAGACTTGATGTTCATCTCAATAAAGTCAATATTTATTAAGTGAAGAAGTCCAGGATCTTTATAAATTGATATTTATTTCGATATTAAATCGATGTGGGATAACAAATCCCTTAATAATAACCTCTTTGGTTTACCCAAAAATAATTACTAAAAATTAGAAAGGATTAGATAGATGCTTGTTAAGATGTTAATTGTGGTGGATGGGTAAGACTAATTTTCACCAAATGGCCAACGAGATTCGTCAAGTGTAGCTGCAAAGGGAGGGTAGTCCATTTTTAACATGTACCTTCTGAACTGCATTTTTAGCGTTCGAGCATCAAACGGGTAATCAAGTCGGATTTAGCCGTTTACTACACTATAATTTTCATATGGTCTTTCCTTGTCATCAACAATCCGTCGAAAAATAAAGACTACGGAAGGAATGTTTGTATGTGTGTGTATGTATTTGTTTGACGTCACTCACATATTGTTTTTAGTCCAAGTTATGACTACTATTTACATATATACAAACTTAAAATTAAACCATTATGCAAACTATTATTGGTTGGGAAACTTTTAGTCAATTTTTCCATTTGGAAAGGTGCTTAGGTCTTTGTTTCTTCAGCGCACCTGTGCTTCGTCCCCATCTTGAACTTTAATTTAATTTGTTTAATTGGATTACTGAACTTTAATTTAATTTTAAATTTCATCACTGTACCGCATTCTGTCACCTATTATCCCGGCCCCAACTAATAGAAATTGCATAGTATAGTGGCAGTCATATTGTATTTGATCTTTCACATAATCATTACATTACACCTTACAATTGAAAATGGTAAAATACATGTTAATGTCAATACATTAAAAGGTAAAATGTTATGTTTTATTTTAACATTTTAATGACATGGCATAAAAGTAGCTTGAAATGTCACACATCGATTAAGTAGTTTTCATCGAATCCGCAAGACAATAGGTGACAAAAAGTGGTGAAAAGTGCAATTTCAATGACCATACAAAAGTAACAATTTTAAAGGTTGAGGATGAAAAGTGCAAGGAAAAAGGTTTTGAACTAAAATTTGCAATTTTAACATTGACAAATATTCTTTGCCTCTCAGTATTGTTTACGTGCTTTCCATCTGACGTTAGTTCAACAACTATAAACATTGAGCACTGAAACGTGTGCCCTTCTGAAAAAAGGTGAGTAAGGTTTGGACTAAATTTGTAATTTTCCCAATAATTTAATTATAGGAAGACCGAACATTTCATAGTCATGACCCCGCCCAACAACATTTTTAAAGAAAGGCCCATCTGAAGCAGGGTGCCCAGCAGCGAGTTCCCCTTATTCAAACGGCTGCATCTGGCCCACTTAGATTCGCTCAATGGTCCATGTCACTGATAGGCTCAGTAGAGTCGTTTGATTCACAAATACTATCTAACACTAATGAAATTGAACACTAATTTAAATGTCAGTATATCATAAATTCTATTAAATGTGTCATAATTCCTTATATTTAATTGAATTTTTAATTTAATGTCACTTATACAGCTGCCAACGAAATTGATTTTAAACACGCATGATGCTAAATAACATCTCTTGTTTCACATCGTCAAAGTATCCTCTCCCTTATTCATTCAAAGCCTAGTTTCCTTCATTGGTGTCACCTCTTTACCCGCTCAGCCTTCTTAGTAGTGCATGTAATCACATTACAATTATCGAAACTGCTAGAGTTTTAGCACCTCCGTAACTGCACCAACTACCGACTCCTTAGGACCACTGGCCATAGGGTGCCTTTAGAACAAGTATTCATCTTCGGTTTGTTCCATATATAAGCAACAAGAACAAAATAATGGAGCATTTTCACAAACAATTTCTTGCTATAAGCCAGAAATTTTTACCCAATCTTATTCTATTAAATTCTGTCTAAGACCTATGTATATGTAGCCCCATTCTCTTGGACTTTGGCTCATCGACATCGTTCTTGAAGGGCTTACCATGAGCACCCCCCCCCCCCCCCCCCCCCCCGCCGGTGGGGTTTCTGTCAGGAAGGCAGTCAGCCTCCATGTTATTTGAGCAAAACCCAACTCCCAATACCATCACATAAGCATAAGCCAAAATATATGATATACTTCCAGAATAACAAAATGTATATAAAGCATAGAAAATCAAAAAGGTCTGCATATTCAAAAGTTACTCCAATGAATTCAGGTTGGCGGTCTACGATGTTTCTGTGTATCGAAACGAGCAGCAAGCGTGTCATGGTCAGGCAATTTGGGATGCACACTATCCTGTGCCTAGACAATGACACTTAAATGCGGTACCTCAAAAGTGGATCTTTACGAAAAAGACGCTCATGGTAGACTCTCCATGCATAATCCTCGAAAGAAAATGAGTGGAAAAGCATCTCTTCTCCTGCGTCCTCAGAACAACAGTCATCATCTTCGTTTTCTTTCTCCTCAATGCCATTCATAGCTAACTTGGGAATAAGGGCAGAGACTGTGCTTTCAATGGGGAGGGTAATTAGCAGAGACATTGAACTTTTGTCATCACCCGATACAGGTAACGCTCTTCCTCTCACTTTCTTGAACTTTCCATTACTCCAAACCTGTCAAACATTTAAATACCTTTTAATTTCTATAGATAAGGAATTTCCATTGTGGACACATCAGATTGATAAATATCTTAAATGACAGCATTTTTCTTCTCCAATGTATACATAATTCTTGAACATGCTTAGTCCACAATGAATCCTTTCACATTTCGTATAAGTAGCCCTCTAATTGAAGTCAACTACATTTCATGATTTGAAGCGATCAGCGTAGTCTTAAAGACCAAACAATTTTTAAGGATTTGATAGTTTATAATTGGACATGTATAGAAGAGAAGTGTACGCCTTAAATAACTTGTTGAGGTTAAATATGGAGATAGCTAAGCATGAAAAGAATTCACCAATTTGAATGCTAATAAATGTTGGATGAATTTTGTGAATAGTGACGCCAAAATAAGTATAATGATGGTTTGTAAATCCGTGCCGAAAATTGGACAAAGTAACGGCAAATAAAACACAAACAAGAAGAAGAAGAAGAAAGTAGGGACAAAGCCGAGGCAAGAGTTGGACTCTTTGTCCTTAAGTCGAATTTGCCCCGCAACGGTGCCCACGAATTTCGGCAATCGATTCCCAAGATACAACGGCTACACTTGTATTTGTAGCACTCCAAAACACAAGTACAACGAACCAAATTTAGGCTTATGTACTCCAAGGATGAAATGAAGGAAAATCAAAATAAATGAAATGATTTTGATCTTAAATAGAAGAGAGGATGAGAGATGTTTTGCATATCAAAATTGTGAGGAATAGGACACCCAAAGGGTCCTATTTATAGACCATGAAAGGGTGTGGACGAAATGGTTGAGGCCAAACCATGCACCATTTCCAAACAGTGCACCTTTATGAAAAGGTGTCTATTCACTAATGGTTGAGGCCAAACCATGCACCCTTTCCAAACAATGCACCTTTATGAAAAGGTGTCTATTCACTGATTTTCGTCCTTTTTCGTAATTTCTCATTCATCCGATATTGATTTTCGAAATGCCAAATATACCCTTCAATACATGTAGGTCGATCCCCGTTTGTGCGCCCCGAAGCGGCGAAGTGGCAAACAATTTTGCCTAAACGGATTGAGTCGAGCTTTTGAGTATTTGCCCGAAATCTATACGAAGTCACTTTAATTGTTTTTCAATTCTCGATTTATTTAACCAATATCCAACAATCCCCCACATGAATGGAAATTCCTCGATATGCGCAACACAATGCGAATGCAATGCAAATGAAATGCAGACTCTAACAAATGGAGTACACACGACAAGTCATAGTATCAAGATAGGTAGCTTGAACCTTCTTTAGTTGAATACAATCGGATTTACTAGACTAGTTGGTGAACGCGATGTCTTGAACCATCCAGCCGTTCGTGTAAAACCAAACAACTGTACCAACACCATGACTCATCTAACCTATTCGGTTCTCATGGTTGAGTCCATTTTGGCCCTGGACAACTCTTAGTTTCATAAGTGCTCTAAGAGAATTAAGCCTCGAATTCTCGTAGAAACGGCCCCATTTCACACTTATATAGGTGATTTCATACCTTCCTATCTCAAGGTTATGAATCATTAAAAGTATATATGTATACTTATCCTTATACACATTTTACATAGCACTTTAAATTTTAGGAATGGGAATAAGTGCTTTATTCCGAATCATTTATGACTTAGTTGTCCCATTGAACCAA